TGAAAGTTATTATCCACCCGCGGCTCGATTATCTATGAAGCGGTTCTAAATCAGCCTGTTCATTTAAACGAAATCCCACCCTTTTCTTCTACATGCGTTCGGCCGGAGAGCACTGAGAAAAGTTGCCTCGACGCAAGGTAAAAAGTCCAAGTGGATGTTCAAGTTGCTAGTTTAAGCCGCTGGTCTGTCTGACTGCACGAATCCACCCGAAGGAAATAAAGTTAACATTTATCGCCAAAGCGAGTGTAATGAAAAACTAATGCTCGTCTGAACTAATTAGAAAGTTTTAGTTGTCGAGACGAAAACACGGAATAGTTTTTTGACTACTGTCTTTGCTTAAATTTTTACAGTAAAAAGTCAAATAGACCATTTGGTATTCTAAGTCGAAATTTTGGACCTATATTAAACCTTTAATTCTACAAACCAGTAGGAGCTAAGATAGCAAAATAAAATAGGTTCAACTCTAATAACATATAATAATTTATACCCTCCCCCTCACATACACACATATTCTTTGATCATAATGTCTTGAATTTCCGTTCTCGTCATTTTCAATGTCAAAATAGGTTGTTTCAAAGTAGCATTAAAATTAAATCCGCATAGTGAAAAATTTTGTGTTAAATTTAACACGTTTCACATGTCCCAAACGGTTTATACTAATTTTTGTATTAATTTAACACAAGGTAAATAAGTTGAAAAATAACACAAATATTATATGGAAAACTAATGCAAAAATAATATCCAAAATACATTAATTGATTGAAGAATAAAATGTGTTGTCTTAATAACACTTGTTGAATACATCGACTCAATACAAAATATTGGGATAACAGAAACATAATATATTAAATTAACACACGAATATATAAAAAATTTAACACAAAAATTTTATCAAGGACAGATTTTAACACAAATACAAAGTGTTTTTTATTGCATGTAGAATTAAAGATTCGAGAGAAAAATGTTAATATCGTCAAAAAAGGTTTTTACTAGTCAACAGGCCATCTAAGCAGACACTAGCTGTCTTCGGGAACATCAAAATAGCATCCAAATTTTGACTTAGAATCACACGAAGAAAATAAGTGTAAAAATGAAAGTGAAGAACTTCAATATGCTTACAGTTTATAGAGGGTTGAATGTCGTGATTGACTTCGTGAAGGTCGCGCAAGGGCACACGCTAAGGGGGAACCTCGAAGGGACTTGAAAAAATGGAGGAGTGACGAGCAAATCGCGCGGAGCTCGCACGAACTCGCCAATTCCCGCGGAGATTAAAGATCAATTAGTCCTGTGTGATCGATGGCGGTGCTCGATTCCGGTAATGTCAAAGGTCTCGGCGCACTAATGAATCCGACAATTAGTCAGTAAGATCTATACAATCGTTGCGCAGTGAATAAGATTCAACTGTAGCGTGTATTGTGTTACATCGATGCCGTTATCGTTCTCTTTCTTCCTTTCTTTTTTAAAACGCCGCGTTATCAAGGAGTGCCGTATGAACGGATCTGGTAATTAGCTTGCGAATTAGACGTGCTGTCGTTAAGCGGGCAGAATTACTGCCGGGAGGCCGCTATCGGTCGCGCCGGCATTAAACAGCCATTTCATCTCGACTCCATTCGGATTCCGACGATCTCTGAAAAGCGTGGAATGCTTTCCGAGCAATAGTCACGATCTCGACCGATAATTATTGCGACGCTTGTTATTGCTTTTTCAAATATGGAATACTCGCCGGATGGCGCGTCCCGCATTTAAAGACTCGTTAAAATCGACGGGTGAAAGGCGGCCTGCCGAATTTTTCCCGCTATCGCAAGGATTCTCCGTAGCGAAAAGGGCGTGAGATCTTTTCGGGTCCGCGATGAAAAATCCCGCGTGTAATAATCCCACGCCTATATATTACACCTACGTTTGTCTTCCGAATGAGCCGATCGCGCGCGAAATCATGCGAAGGTGTGCATACGGTAAAAAAGAAACATATACGACGTATGATAGTGATAAATTCAAGGTGCGCGTGGGACCACCGGGCAACTTATTCAGAAATTCACGTGGCGCGGCATGAGGTTCGATCGGATCGTACAAATCAACTTTTACGATGGCGGGACACGTGCGGGACAGCGCGTACAGCAGTGTGTCATTACGCGACGATAAACCAGCCCGGGGAGTAATTTCAACGAACGCGGTGTCCATAGATCAGACTCCGCGAAGAGAGCCCACGAAAAAGCGGTACAATGGACGAACGGGGTGTTTTATCGTTCGATAAAAAGGATAAGCACGTGGCGGCATTTACGACGAGCGAGCGGCCGAGCAAGGAAAGTGCCGCGACGTATAATGTTCAATAAGGAAGGCCGTTCTTCCGAGAGTCCGCGCGCGCCTGGGTCCATATAACATTATAATAATTCATTGCGCGTGCCCCGCGGCGCCGATAAAACTGATAATTACGAAATATTGCGCCGCAATAATGGCCCGATATTTTGCAATCCACGTCGACACGTTCGTCGCCGGCCGATGCTGATAATGTGTAGTATGCGATAAAATTAATGCATCGGCGGCACGAGATGTGTGAATTTCATCCGCGGGTCTCTCTCTCTCTCTCTCTCTTTGCTTCACGAGAAAGAGAGAGAGGCGCGCGCGTTTTTCTTGCGTCTCAATTACGTGGCTCGCTGGAAAACGTTATAGTCCCGCACTCTCATGTGCGATGATTAAACCCGCTTAAGATCTCCGCGCTGGGAAAAATGTGCCGGCGTTCATGCGTGCATGCCTGCGTACGTGCGTACGTGCGTGCACGTACTCGCAAGCCTACGCAAGCTTTAACGAAGCCGCGCTCATATTTTACGTTTTGTGCTATATAACTCGAGCTGTCTCTCACTTTTCTCATTTTTCTCCCCCTTCTTGTTTCAGTAATACGCGATCGTAATTATATCTTCGAGGAATAATGAACATGAAAACGTCGTATAAGCTTTCAATACGTCCCATTGAGTCGCTCGACAGCGCTGAGCTTCATTGCTATCGTTTTATTACAGACTTTTCAAACACCGTGTAGAACGTCAGAATCCATTTTCTCAACAGCATTTGCTACACCGTCAATTTCGTTTTTGTTCCGGATAAAGTATTTCGACTGTCAAGGAAAGTCTCACTGTGGAAAGTGCTCTCTCTCTGTGGATAGATTTACAAACTTCGTGTATATCGTCTGCGTGCGCAGATTGCTCGCTCGCGCTTCGCCGAGCGCGATTTGCCGAGACCGCACCGCGGTAACCCGTATTCAAATCTGTGCGTTTTCCTCTCCGGGGATTCGATCGTCGTGGGTGAAGAGACGGGGGTAACCACCTTTCTCGATGAAGAGCCGAGCATCGCGTGTTCGTAATCGGAGACCGCGCTTTGCGGAGGATACAGAGCCCCGAGCGCTTATTTGCGCATAACTTTGCGAACCGCCTCTCCCGACAGTGCTGCGCACCGGCTTAAGTACTGTTAACAGGTTGACTGTCGTACTGAAGTCATAGAGAAGGCAAACGTTCCGCCGGCAGCGTATCCGGGGATAAACGCGATCCTAATGAATGGCTGTTCTGTTTTCTCAATTTATGCGCCGGCCGTTCGCTTTAGAGCCTCCTTCCACCGCAGAAAAGCCACACACGAGAATAATTATAATTGCCGCGGAGCCTGCGCAGCTGAGAAAGAGAGAAAAGAGAGAGAGANGGGGGGGGGGGGGACCTGAGAGCAATGATTAAGTGGAGCTGATCCTCGGTTTGTTATTTGATTAATCATATGCTCATTGCGAGCTGGCAATATTGCGAACGCGCACCGCATTCTGACGCTTCATCCTGCGATAACTTAGTTACGCCAATAATGATGCTCCTGTTTTAATGATTCAGACTTTTGTACATTCTGTAGAATCTTTTATACAAATCGTTATATGAGTTGTTATTATTTATAAATTATTTAAAAAATGATTTCATCTTTATTTATTGTATAAAATGATTTAAAAATATTGTTATATTAAAAACATTTAAATAATATTATACAAAAATTATTATTTAAGCATTGTGTGACAACTTATATATAATTTATATATAACGAAATTCCATATGTAACACACACAGTTAGAAAATAAATATTTATAAGCGCTCCCCTTATAACAAGAGCAACAAAAGGTTAAGAATCAAAGGGTGAAAGAACCAAAGGCCCGTATTCCGGACATCCTTTTATCGATAAAAGTACCTTAAATATGGCTTCTCAACCAATCAGGTGGTTTCTAAGCTTCTTTTAGGGGCACACGTATCAATAAAATAGAGTTCAGAATACGAGCCAAAGTGTGTCTTCATTAGATCATGATGCATTTATCTCATAGGAAATTTCAACTTTATAATACCATTAAAAATCTAGTATCGATCATCATTTTCAATATTTTATATATATTTTTTAATATAATCACGTAACTACGACATTACGAATTTCATTAATATCACTTCATTCATTTCATCATATATCAGATTGCGTCATGTATTTCATAAATGTTTTCCTATCAGGGCAAAATTAGCTTTCAGTAACGCATTATTAAAATGTCACATAAGTAACTACATAATATAAATATTATCCAAGTGTCCAAATATACCAAACATGCTAGAACAAAACACTCAAGCGCGTGGTGGTTATTTAACAATGTACGCGTACGTATCCGAGACGCAAAAGTCGACGTTATCGATTTTCCAATGAACAAAATAATTCACTTATAAATACCTTGTTGTATTACAATATCCATCACACAGCACATATGTTTCACGACCTCGTTTCAAACATCAGACATATTTCTCCTCGGACGCTGTTGCCGAACAGACTCCCCATTTATAATGTCGCGCCTTAACGAGGTTAATCGCTCCCGCGACTAATTGATCGATGCCGACGAAAAAGTCGGCCGCAAGAAACACGAGGTGGCGCCGGCCGATGACGTTTCTTTCCTTCATTGCCCGAAACAATCATCACGTAGTAATTCGCTCCTCCGCTGCTCCATGTTTCAGAGCGACTTTGAACCACAGTGTCACGTGTTCCGTACTAAGCAACTGCGCAAGCCCAGACCATGTCATTTGTGCCACCAAGCGGTCATCAAGCAAGCCTCCTGCTGCAGAGGTGAGTCGATAACATCATTCCCTAAGGCAGTAACAGCTGGTAGGACTCGGGGTCGGTAGTGCTTTCAAATCAATAGTTGATACGGAAGCTCCTACTTGGCGGGAAGGTGCCAGTTAGAACGATTTAGCCGCGGGGCTCGAGGCGCGTTTCGCTTGACATTTTTCCTCTTGTTGATATTATTATTATTACTAACGTTTTATCACTGGTATTAAGTCTCATTGCCGTGCCCCAGATTACACGAGACGATTGCTACGATTAACGTGGAAACGCGTTCGATCGGACGCGCATCTGCGCGCGTGAAAGTCAGATCGGGCCGATTCGCCGGCGTCCGCGCTCAAACGAGCAATTAACGTGATTGTATATCGGCATGACGTGAAGAAATGATTGTAATGCCCGCGATAACGATCCTTTTGACTCGCAAACGCGTGTGAGCGGAGAAAACGGAGCCCCATTCGGAGTTGTTTACCATCCAATCGAAATGTTCGATTTGCAAGTCCGGGCAAAATTTATCAATTAAAATCAAAGCGTGAAAAGTACACAGCGGGAATCTCCGTACGAACCATATTGTATAATGGAATCTTCCTTTTTGATTTCAGTCTGCAAATACATCTGCCATAAGACGTGCGAAGACAAGGTAAGTGAGCTTACATATGTGGACGCTCTTTTTTTTTTTTATCGGAGAAAGCAGTTGCATTTGACTTCTCCAGCGCGACGGATTCGCACGAACGTTCTGCAAACGCAAACGCGGCGATTAGGTTGTCGCGAGCATGTCACTTCTTCTAAGTACGATATTCGTAACCAAGCTGCTCTTTCTCGGAAGGTTTATGACAGTCTGGAGCGGAGAGCACACTTCCACGTACGTGAAGAGCCCCTCTTCCATTCTGCCGTGCTCTTCTGCGTACTTCCTGGTACTCAAACAAAACCTTCGAGATAGGCTAAGCTGCGGCTCCAGTTGATAGCGATTATGTGCATCGGTCGTTGTGATAATTCCTTTACCATGCGTGGGCAGAAAACATTTCTGCAAACATCGGGACTGGAATTTGCACCGGAAAAAATTGATTCGTGCATATTTTGGTTTCTCTAAGTTAATAAAAATAGTCTGTTCGTTATTTTTATTTTATTCAAGGTAGTTTATAAGAGTACATGTATAACTTCAAAATCGGATTCTCAAGTGACGCATAAAAGTGGTTGATTAGAATATTGAATAGAATATACAAATAGTTGATTAGAAAACCGGATTTTGGCGAACGGTAGCAATATTAAAAGAGGCCCCGATATAAACGTATTATTTAAAAAAATATCCATCGTGAAAAAATATATCCTATAATTTTATTTAATTAGCAAAGTGATAAATGTTAATTTTGAGCGTGAAATATAAAGACGAATATATATATAATATATAATCTACAAGAAATCAAAAACAGAAGGGTTAAAAGGGTTTAGGACCTCAAGGAATAACCTCAAGGAACACGTACGAAAAGTATCATCTTTAATTGCGAATATCTCAGCTTCCGAATAGTCGATCTAATTTTGCAGATGTGTTGGCAGTATTTCCATCAAGATGCGGCTAAAATTTCAATGATATCCCAAGAAAATGACTTGACGGGCAAACTATCTTAATATTTCCTCACGAAACTCAGCCAAGATACGCCGTTTACGATAACAAGGGGGCCGTGGCACGGAGAATTTTAATATCTCTGTTAACGTCGCGCAATCTCGCGAACGTCGTTGCCTCTTCTCCTCTCGCGGCGTAATGATCATCCTTCTCACGGCCTACGGGTCGATGGCGCGATAGCAACAAAATAACACAGATTAATGAGCAGCTTCCACGGTTCCCCATCCGTGCACGAGCCCGGGCGCGCTCGGCTTTAATCCGAAAAGTGCGTCCGATATCTCAGTCGATGAGATTCCCGGCTGGCCCGGAACGGTTCTCCTCGTCGTCCGACGAGAGTCCGCGCTCTCGTGTGCGTGAGTGCGTGCGCGCGCGCTCCTTACGTGAAATGCTGTGTGGGTTCAGTCACCGGGCAGGGCACGAGACTTCCTCACCTCCTCACCTGCCTCGTATCTCCCGGTACTCCTATGTCACGCATGGAGTGCCGAACGTACTCACACGCGCGCCTCCGCCGCCGAGATGAGGCGATCTCTCCGAGAACGTCGGCGGGGAGAACGAATGCTGCTGGAGAAGAACGCGCGTCAGACACGAGAGCGAGAATCGCAGACGACGAAGAAGCGGCCGGAGAGTGCACGACTTCCTCCGGTAAAAGCTGCGGCCGAGCGTTCCGCATTGTTACGGCGCCGCCGGAAAAAGCGGATTAACTCTCATCGTTATCTTGGACTAACAGCGGACTAATGTCCAGAAAGTGTAATCCCCGGCTTGCGCGGATGTCGTCCGACGACGTAACACCAGCGGAGTTTCCTTCGAGCACCGCAAAAAATTCCTGAACGCCGCGGCGTCATCCGCCGCGTATTTGCGGGCGAAATGCTGCTGATCGTGCTCTGGTTTACCGCTCCTTCGCGTTTAAGGTTTGATTTTAATTAATGTCGACCACGATAATCCACAGGATGAGACTCGCGTTGATAGTACAAATTGCTTCGCCACAAATCCCTCAGGATTTTAACACACGAGCGGGCAAACCGACCGGGGGGTGTACGCCGACGATAAGGTTTTAGAGCTCGTTCACCGGGATGATCATCGGGTATTATGAGCGCCGATCGGCGTTTCTTCGAAACGTCACGTCGCTCCGAATCGCATGCGAACCGTTCGCTCTCAAAGCCGCCGCCGCCGCGAAATTAACGATCGCGATCGAATGACATTTCGTGCGGACTAGAAAAATAAAGGGGGGCCCCAATGGGTGCCATAAACAGGGCCCCCGTGGTAATTGCCAAGGTCGCCGCAACTATCATCGATTGATCAGCTAGACTGGCGGCATCCGGTCCTTCGACGTGATTACAAACGTACGATCATTAGTAACGCGGACTCATTACGCTTACGAGCGGCGGACGATCGCCGTTGCTCTTTTCTCCATGAAAAACGCATGATTGCCCGCCGAGACCGGCGTCGTAAAAATGGCCACGTCATATCCGCCGCGAAGATTCGAAGCGGCCACGAGCGGAGAGGCGGAAAAAAGGTAGGCGATTTGAAACGAACGATCGCGCAAGAACGGAACGCGGCCGGACGAACGAGCGCGCGAACTATCGCGATGAACACAGGCCTCGTTTCTTCTCTCTCTCTCTCTTTTTTTCTCTCTCTCTCACACACACACCGTCTCGCGAATTTCTCTCGATGGTCGCGTGAACGACCTCTGAACAATCGCGCGATCGCGCCTCACGCGACTCGTTAGATAATCGCGGTTTGCGGTTTCGCGTGTCGAACGAAAACCGAATTGTAAGGGTCGCGCGATCTCGAGGCCGCACACCTCCTCGTATCCGGGGGATCGGGCAGGCCGGGAATTCACCTGGAACGTTACGATTATCCTCATTGCGGCCCGGCGATTCAATAAAATCTCATTACGACAATGCGCACCTCCGCGGCCGGCATAATGCAACGCCAATGAGCCGACGGCAAACGGCCGTCTTCTACGCCACTGACGCAAAGTGTGCACACTCGTTAGGAGCCCGCGAGAGCTCGTAGACTTACACGCGGACACGCGTGTGGTCTCCTATCGGTATACACGGTGTCTTAAGTTCAAGGCGACGAGACGCGGAATGGATACCGCGCTTCGGCCGTTCGAGAACCTCGGCGCGTGTGGCGAATTACATCATAACGCGGAGGTGGAGGAAAGGTCGACGACAATAACAATACCGCGAAGAGATGAACCGCCCGTCGGCCAAGCGGGCCTCGGCTTCTGGAGGGAGCCCGGGTCTGCTTCGAATTTCAAAACGCGCGAACGTGACGCACATGGAATTCCGCCGGTTTTTATCCCCCTCCTTCGTCTTCGGCGCACCGGGAGCCGCAATAACGCGATCAGGAACTGCGAGTAAAGAGAGCTCGTCTTATCGAGCCGCGCCACCACGTGCCGCACCGTCATGACCGATATGTGGTTG